TTAATTGTGCGAATTTCGAACTTGGGATTTTAACTTGCACGGACTTTTGATTGGGAGAGCAGTTGATGATTCTCGTAGATGACGCCGGAGGAGACTGGCCAGCGATTGCTCACGCTCCGTGGGAAGGCTGCAATTTGGCGGATTTCGTCATGCCTTTCTTTTTGTTCATCGTCGGCGTCTCCATCGCGCTTGCCTTGAAGGTGTTTTCTCGCCATTTCAGAAATTGCTTCAATTCGATTTCGAACTCGAAAGCTCTCATAATTCTTCGTCCTATCTAAAATTTGCGAAGTTGTTGCATAGAAATCGGATTACGCATCTGTATTGCCCTCAAATCCGTTGTCTGATGACTGTCTTCCTCTCGTTGTTCTGAATTTTCAGAGAATTTCCAACAAATTTGAAGCTTGTAAGAAGGTGGTTTTTAGAACCGGCAAGCTCCTCTTCTGGGGTCTTCTACTGCAAGGTGACTTTCACTCCAACCTTGTAGCCTCGTTGCTTAACATTCATGTATATAGATGATGGATTCTTCATTTCTTGTGCTGAAAAAGGGGGTTTCTCTCATGCACCTGACAAATTAACATATGGCGTTGATGTGACTATGATGAGATTTTGCGGGATTCTCCAGGTTTTGTTGTCTTAGGCTCAAGATTCATTACATGAATCTATACGCGGTTTAGATGTTTGATGTGTATCTTGAGTCATGTATTTTTGTTTTTATGTAGAGAATAGCTTTATCCTACTTGATAGTATCGTTGGTCGAAGTCTTCACAAAGGACTCACATGAGGAGAATTTGTCAACTGGAAGGTTCTCAATATTCAAATCATATTATTGGCACTGGTAAAACCTGACATTTTGATGTAGTCAGAAAAATAAATTCATGAATACCAAATAGTGAGTTTCGGATTAATCTTGTTTCTAGTACATTCACAGGATTTTGGGTGCAACAGTTCTTGTGATTTATCTTGCCACACTCTATGGAACTTACGTCCCTGACTGGGAATTTGTTGTCTATGATAAAGATAGCATTCTCTTTGGGAAAATCCAATCTGTAAGTCTTTACATGTTGCTTGTTATCACCATTACTAAGTCTTGTGTAAATTTCGTGATTATATAGTATAAGATATTCTGTGATATCTTACTAGGTATCGTGTGGACTGAGAGGAAAGCTAAGCCCTCCTTGCAATGCTGTTGGATATGTTGATAGACTAGTTTTAGGGATCAATCATATGTATCACCATCCTGCGTGGAGACGATCTAAGGTACACTACCCAATTTTCTGATTTCATTTAATGGAATCCCTTTGTGCTAGCCTCTTTAGATTGAGCATGCTAGAAAATTTGGGACTACGAAATGTTTTACGTCACTCCTAAGGCGTTTTTGAGTTTTATGTCAGAAGATAATGTGTCTATTAGTGAAATGTTTATAGTTTTACAGGTTTTGAATCATAGAAGTTAAAGTGCCTATTAATGATAATATGATTGATGTCAATGGACTCAATCCTCATGTGTTCTTTTGAGTTTTAGGCTTGCACTGATGATTCCCCCTATGAGGGACCTTTACGACAAGATGCACCATCATGGTGCCATGCTCCATTTGAACCTGAAGGAGTCCTAAGGTCTAATCTTGTCACCCGAGTCAGTAATCCTGTTCAGAACTTTAATACACTCAGAAACTTGTCTGATGCAGCTCCATATCTGCTATTCTTTCTACAATCATCGGAGTCCATTTTGGACATATTATCTTACACTTGAAGGTTAACTTACTTGATGAAATATAGCCTCAAGTTCGTACGAACTATCACCGTTTTGTCTTTTCACTATCAGCATTACTAATTTTTTCAGGGGCATTTAGCTCGGCTAAAACATTTTATCTCGACGGGTCTCGCTCTCCTCACTCTCGGGCTCACTCTTCATTTCACCCACTGTGAGAAACACCTTTGTTTTCAATCCAACTCAGTTGATCTATTCCATTCTCTTTTCCTTACATATATTAGAAACTCAAATGTTTGCAGTGATGCCTTTGAATAAACAACTCTACAGTTTCAGCTACATATGCGTGACCTCTGGTGCAGCCGCGCTTGTCTTCTCTGCCTTGTATTCTCTGGTGATTCTTTATTTTTTTTTTCACAATTGACAACAACAAAAACTCTTGAAGAACTTTGCGCAAAACAATTTATTGTTTGCTTATTTGGGTTTTGCAGGTGGATATATTGGGATGGACGAAAATGTTTCTGCCTCTAAAGTGGATAGGCATGAACGCAATGCTTGTCTACGTGATGGGAGCTGAAGGCATTTTGGCTGCTTTCTTCAACGGTTGGTACTATCGCGACCCGCGCAATACACTGGTAAAAACTTGTCTTTTCTTCCCGTTCTTAATCTTAAATGGGCATTGCACCCGTAGAACCCAATGTGATCATACGAATCGTGTGTTTATAGATAAATTGGATTCGGGAGCACGTTTTTATCAGAGTGTGGCACTCACGAAGAGTGGGTGTCCTTATGTATGTCATATTCGCAGAGATTCTCTTCTGGGGTTTGGTCACTGGTGTTTTTCACAGATTCAACATCTATTGGAAACTCTAAGTGGACTTTGGAAAAACCGCAACTTTATCCGAAGTTGTAATAGATTGTAGATTTGTAGTATTATTATATAAATCAAATTCATAATATGAGTTATGTATATTTTTCAAAATCGTAGGGAATGAATTATGAATATCCTTTGCTGAAAATAAAATATCTAATACTCTAAATGAAAGAGAGGGTTCGTTTTTCTAGGCATTTCTCTTCCATTTAGGCCTTTAGTGGAAGAAAGTGCTATAAGACTTGTCAGTTCTGACGAAGAAGCTGGTGAGAAAGAGGAAGACGATTCACTACTTTCCCGCCACTTTGATTGTCTTCCACAAACCCTACGGTGGTGAGCAAGGATGTTGTGGGTCGACAAGTACAGGCCGAAATCGCTGGACAAGGTCATCGTTCATGAGGATATCGCCCAAAATCTCAAGAAATTGGTACGCCTTCTCTTCGATCCCTAGGGATTTTGCTTTTCATTTCTGATAGGTTTTTTCGACAGCTGATTTTCGATTCTCCCCTTAGGTTACCGAACAAGATTGTCCGCATTTGCTCTTCTATGGGCCGTCAGGTTCGGGTAAGAAAACCCTAATCATTGCGCTTCTCAAGCAGATATTTGGTGCTAGTGCAGAGAAGGTATCCTTCTATCCCTTTTGGTTTTTTTTTTCTCGGTATGGTTAGGTAATGCAGGATTTAATTGAACATGACGAATTTGAGACCTCATGATTTTGAGCAAAGTAAACCGTCTGTTTTGGCATGTTGAGATGTGGTTTTTGATTTGGGAAGTTACTCTCACTTAGCACTGGAACCGAAAACTATTTTGATTTACACGTTTTGAATTTGTTCATCTTCTGATTGCTCCTTTTTTCATACTGTAACTGAGAAATTGCTTGATTTACTTACTTGATTGCAGGTGAAAGTGGAGAACAGGTCTTGGAAAGTTGATGTGAGTTGCATACCATTTCCTCTTTCATTGCTTTTACTTCTATAGCACTTGGACCAGTATCATTTTACTTTGTGAAGCCAGATATGTGATGTGTTTGCTATCAATTTCTCTTGGTGGTCATTCTCGGCGGATTTTCTTCTTTTAAACATGACATCATTGGATACTTGCCAATTTTGTTGTCGTTAAGCTTTAGTATATGAAATCTACCAAGCCAAACTCTTGGGGTCCTTCGTAGTTGGTCCAATAATGTGTATTACCTTCAATCATTTTCTGTCTTTCTTGTTTCTCAGCTTTTATCTTTTTGTTATGTTAACTTTCATAAATGCAGGCTGGGAGTAGAACTCTTGATCTGGAGCTCACTACATTATCAAGCACCAATCATGTGGAACTTACTCCAAGTGATGCAGGCTTTCAGGACAGATATATCGTTCAAGAGATAATTAAAGAAATGGCCAAGAACAGACCAATTGACACAAAAGGAAAGAAGGGATATAAAGGTAAGAATTAGTGTTCTGCCTGACCAATATTCTACAAAAGTATCATTACTGGAGAAATTTTGGATATAAAGATTGAGGCTTTTATAAGGGCATTGGATGTCATATTCAATCTATATGCTGCAGTGGTTTGCTTGGTCTACATTGTCTGGTTCATAATATAGTTTTTTTCTTTTAGATGGTTGCCTCATACAAGGCCTCTTGTCCAATTGAATGTCTTTCATTATAGATTTAAATGGTTTTTTGTTATCGGTTATCAAGTTATCTCTGACATGTCTTGCATCATCTCTAGGCTAAGGTTTGCCTCAAGTCTGCCAAATTAGTTTGACTTCTTTTCACAGATTGCTGTTGGGTGTTGTCTGTGAAAACTATTTCGTTGTGCCCTAGCACATAATTTTATGTGCTTTTTGTGTTGCAGTGCTAGTACTAAATGAGGTTGACAAGCTCTCACGAGAAGCTCAACATTCTTTGCGGAGAACAATGGAGAAATATAGCTCATCTTGCCGTCTCATATTATGTTGTAACAGCTCTTCGAAGGTTACAGAAGCCATTAAGTCTCGTTGTCTTAATGTGCGGATAAATGCACCTTCGCAGGAAGAGGTACAAAAACTGTTCCTTTGTTTTTTGTAAAATAGTCGTTTAAATGATTCATCAACCAAATTTGTGGAATGTTGACGATACTGCAAACTTGTTCAACTCATCGTTGAGAGTCTGAGACACCAAATCTTGCTTTGTGGCTTATAGTGACTTCTCTAGGGCAAACTCGTCAAATCTTCTCTTAAAAATGCCCATCATAGGGAGACCTCAAAATTGCATCTCTTTCTTTCTTTAGATGAACTCGGTATAGAAATCAACTCTTGCATAAATCAAGCCATATTCCTGTTTACTCATTAGATTGCCAAAAAAAAGTTAATACTTATTATAATTACATGTCTTCTTTTATCTTAATGAGAAATCTTTCATGACTAACCATGTCTTGTAACATGTCTATGATGTGCAAGTTTTGTTTATGTGATTTAAATATATATACTATATAGAATTTGTAGTTGCTTAAAGGAAGATGCCATAGGATTCAATGTTTGCTTCATTTGACCCCATGCAAACTTTTTTACAAAGATAAGTATACAAGATTGCAGTTTACAGAAATGTAATTCTTTATTTTCAGATAGTGAAAGTGTTGGAGTTCATTGCAAAGAAAGAAAGTCTGCAACTACCCCAGGGTTTTGCTGCTCGTATTGCCGAAAAATCAAATCGCAGTCTTAGAAGAGCTATTTTGTCACTTGAGACGTGTCGTGTGCAAAAGTAAGCATCATAAGCGGTATCTATGCTGACGATCATTGAGATTGATTCTTATGTTTTTTTATGCTATGGAAAAATAAACTTCAAAATTACTTTCATGTCCATACTCCCATCAACATGTTTTTTTTGGGTAGTTATCCGTTCACAGGTAACCAAGTGATATCTCCCATGGATTGGGAAGAGTATGTTGTTGAAATAGCAACTGACATGATGAAGGAGCAGAGTCCTAAAGGGTAACACTCTAGTAAATCTTTTACTTTACAATTTTTTCATCACTCCCTTGAGTATATGACCTGTTGTGTGCTTCTTCAGGTTGTTTCAGGTGCGCGGAAAGGTGTATGAATTGCTAGTTAACTGCATTCCACCGGAAGTCATACTGAAGGTTTTAAACAAAAACCAATTCTGTATTTGATTATTTATTCATGACCATTTCTCTTTCTCTTTTACGTATTGTTTATGCTTTGCCAGAGACTTCTTCATGAATTGCTGAAGAGACTGGACCCGGACCTAAAGCTTGAAGTCTGCCATTGGGCTGCATATTATGTAAGATTATTTGTATATTGAATTATTGATCTTAGTCTTAGCTTGAATATTTTATATGTTCTCGCAATTATATCAACGGTTGTGTTCTCTTTTGAGCCTGAGCTTTGGTCCTTTGCTTTGATGGCTTTCTTGATGATATATGTCTTTTGGCTCTTCTTACAGGAACATCGGATGCGATTAGGTCAGAAAGCCATATTTCACATAGAAGGTATAGAAATGCGGTAGCTATTGCATTTGGCCATATAGGTTACTTACATAAAATAAAATAAAAATCTTCTTACATTTTTATGGGTGCTATTGTTGGTGTGACTGCAGCATTTGTGGCCAAGTTCATGAGCATATACAAAAACTTCCTCATTTCAACATTTGGGTAGAGAAGGAAGGCTCCAAAGTCCAACCCCAGGAAAAGAAAACAGGCTATTATGTCTTTTTCTTATGCAATGTTCCGATGTTGTGAAATTAAGGTTTCTGTTTAGTGGGGCTTTTAAAGTTTGATACTTTTTGTTTCATGATATTTCTTTCTTCGCATCTCATTCACGTAGACCTCTGTTATGTCTTCGATTCTCTTTTTGAACATCATTTTGCGCACCTTTGATAAGTGTTTATTTTTTAATATTCTGCAGCTCGAAAGGGTCATTTAGCATGTAATCTTTTGAGAGGTGATGATT